ATACATTGACATGAGTTTACAGTGATCTTTCTTAGGTCCATGACCACAGTTTCACATGATTATTCTTTCTGATTAAACAGTAATTATATTTAATTACTAAACAGTCATCACATCTAACAATTATATCAATTATCATGTACTAGCTACAAAGTACTATTTCTCCCTGTGCTAAAAGTATTTACCTTTCCAAGGCCTACTAAGTTTATTTTTTTTTCTGTTAACCCTCAATCTCATGATTTTAAAGCCCTTTTACTATCAAGGACATGATTTATATTTAGAGTGAAGGACTGAGCTACCCTCCTACTAGGCCTCAGATAAGCAACCTTGGTGGGGCCTGGAAGCCTTGATGTGGTAAGAAACTAGTGGTGGCGCAGTTAGAAATTATGTTAAGGTAACCACCAAGTAATGAGCTCTCTGAGTGTGAATTAGGTAGAGCTGCAGTGTGAAAAGCCTGACCACCTTAAGGCAAAGGTAAACAATGTTTACTGAACAATGGTAGCATGTTCACAACTTGCAAACTATATTGACGTATATATCAACTGCCATCTTTTAGACAATAAACGGAGAAAGTAGCTTTAACCATATTGGCTTGATATGCATTTTGGCCAGTCCAGCTCCCTCATATTATAACAAGTCCCTAGCTTCTGTGAAAGGCCAGAACAAGAAATGAGACACTGACTTACTCTGCTGCCTGATGAAATAAACATGTACTGAGAATTTATTGTTATTATTGAAAGTACAGTTTAAATTACAGGAGGGTCTCTTGCCTTGGTGAGCTCATAGCCCACTGTGATACACCTCACCTCAGTGCAGATTTGAGGTGGTTGTTGTTCTCTTTTTCTTCCTCCAAAACACCAAGAGATCAAAATTCTTGGTAAAAATGGGACTTCTACTTTCAAGCAAAGCCAAAGAGAAGCTCTGCAGGCTTCTTCCTAGATACAGATAAAATACTCTGGTGATCTTATCACACCCTCTTCTCAAACTTTTGGCAACAGATTGTACTCTGGAACACCATGACTTCCTTGTGATCTGAAAGAGGGAACAAATCAAACCTCAAGAGCTGGTCCTACCTTTAAAACCAGTGTTCCTCTCACCAGAAACTTCTTTTCTTGTGCTCTGCAATCCTCACTGTTTATTACAATAAAATGCTTCTTTTTTTTTTTATTAGGTTTACATCAGTTCCATATGCTTTTATGAGCTTTTATGCCTTTTTATCTATATATGTTTAATAGCACTATCTGCTTATTGCAACATTCCAGGAATCCCTTTTGACTCTTCTCTCCATATTCCTGCAGAAGGTGACGTCACTCTGGGTTTTACACCAATATAAATCCAGGTTATTCAGATCCTTGACATGATGGGTAAGCACAATTTCCCTGCTGACACAGAGATTGCAGACAAACCCTTCTATTGTCACTGAAGACAAAAGAAAGGAGGAAGTTCCTGCCCATTGGAAAGTCTCTGTTTGCTCTGAAGGACTCTACCTCTTCCTGTCTCAGCAGCAGCTCGGCAGGAGGACGCCAAGAAGGGCAAGAGAGGGACGGGCGGTCGATTTGTGTGACAATTTAACAACACTTGTAAACGAGAGCTGAGACTGTCAGTAACATCTCTGCAGAGGCAAGTCCTTGCTGAGGATGAAGAGCTGTGTCACTTGTGTTTAGTTTGCATCGAGTTAACGGCACGGTGGGTTTTCATCCTGCAGATGTGGCCCCTGTGACAGCAGTCTGTCCATCCTTCAGGAGGGTTTGTACCCACAGGGACAATGCTGCTTTTGCCAGCAGACCACAGCTTGCCTTATATCAAATAGTCCAGGCAGAAATTACTTCTTAAAGTAACATTTTCCTTTTGCTCTCAAACCAAAGATTTAGATGTCGTGGTATAATAGAAACAAATATTTTTCCCTGTTGTCTATCAGGACAGGAGTAAAATCCTAGCGCATCCAGATAGCAAGGCATGGATTTCACTTCCACTGTCAAAATGACTTGCAGGGGCAAGTAAAGTAAATTCTGTGATGGAACAGTGAAGTCCTGTCCCTCTAAATCACTGTGATGCCTAAAGGATTTTATATCAGGTTTGCGTCTATGTCAGTGCTAAAGAAGTTTATAAGGTCCAACAAAGACCTAAGGTTTGCACAGCACAGTTTAGGCTGACAGCTAAGAGAACATAAATTAAATGGTCTTTCCAGCCCAGAAAGCTGATGAGAAATGTTGGTGTTTCTGCTCTCTTTCCTTGTTTAAAGCACAGCAACATATTTAATGAGATTTTGGAATTGCAGCTAAAAATCATGGCCAGATTAAGTAATAGAAGTGGTTGTTGTGCATTTATAATTGTGGAGGTCAGTATCAGTGTAGCTGCTTCTGGTAAAACAGAATGCTCTTTCAAGACACTTCTTAACAGAAATGTCTTTTTCCTTTCCATTCTTAACTGCGAAGTCTCCTCCAGGATGCACAGCAAACACGTTATCTAGATTGTCTTTTCACAATAACAAAAAACTTCCCCTTTATTCAGGCTGAATTGTACAATTCTCATCTGTATTAAGGAACTTCATTTTGTCTCTGCTGTAAAGAAGTGATTTCTATGCAAGAGGGTTGATAAAGGACAGACCCAAATTAACAGGACGGGTATTTGTTAGAGCTACCATTCCCCATCAAACACTTTACCCATACCATCAAGCCCAAAGCTAATATGGCTCCATGTTAAATATTTTTGATGGATTACACATCCTTGTGTGAAGATGGAATTAGGATTTAAAGCCAGTATTTATTCATATACAAACATTGTGGAAGAACATTGCATATTCAAAACAGAAACCAAGTATCACCTGTACAGGGTAAACACTGCAATAACATGAGTACACTTCTCCCATCAGGTTCACAGGCAGTTTAACCAATTCTTTGCTTGCAAATAATCTCTTCTGGCATCTTCTGGGGCCCTGAACCAGGAAAGTCACACCTAAATACTGTGGGACCATGAAAACTTCTCCAGATACATTTTGGAGACAAACCAGTCTCCGGGTGACACAAGTGACTAAGGCAGCCTCCAATAATGTAGCGGGACCCAGGTTTGCTGTGTTCTCTTTGTCATCGTGGGTTTGTAATTTAGACTCACAGAGGAGTTTGAGTTGGAAGGGACCTTAAAGACCCTCTAGATCCAACCCCTCTGCCATGGGCAGGGACACCTTCCACTGAAGCAGGTGACTCAGAGCCCCTCCAAGCTGTGGCAAATACCCAAGGACCCCTTTTTCTCTGTTTTGCAAGGTCAGATTTCCATGCTCACATTCACAGATGGCCCCAGCCTCACACAGAGCATTGGTGGCTGGTCACTTATCTCCACAACCCAGCAGAGATCCTATTTTGGATGGCTCTCACTGCTCCCATGGCCTCCAGGGACCAGCCACTGCCTCTCCTCCTTCTGCTTTTCCAGGATCAGCGATTCCCTGCCACTTCTTGCACGTCAGAGACAACTGGAAGAGATAAGGGGCTGAGGATGCAGGCTCTGGCAGAGAGTTGATAACACCCAGCTGAGTATTTTATTCTCCTGCCACTAAGCTGTCAGGCTGCTTCCACAAATTCCTCCTGCTTGCAAAGGGGCTGGTGTGAGCAGCAGGAATTGTTGCTGGCTGGACCATGTCAAAGAGCTGGACAAAAGAAGCTTTTTGTGGAAAGCCACCAGCTGTCCTTTGTCAGCAGCACAAGGTGTGAGGTCCCCTTTGAAGGCCATCCCTGCACAAGGACAGCCTGGCCTTCTCCAGTACCCACAACACCTTTCAGGCTTTCGGGCTGGCCTCGTCCCTCACTCTGGAGAAGCAGGCTGCTGTTGGAACTCTCATATCCACCGTTTCTGGCTGGATTGCCGTGTCTTACCACAGACAGCCCTGGAGACAACAGTACAGACAGGCTCCAGCTGCAATAAAAGGGGACTTGTTCCAGCTTTTCCCTTGGACCAGCGTGCAGCAAACACACCTGGGTCTCATTCAGGTCTGTGTGGGCTGGTAATCAACTTCTGCTGGGAATTTAAAGGTTTTACCCTACTTCCCACAGCAAATAATGGAGCAAACCCAGCTGCACCAAAACCCAAATTTCACGCTAACAATTACAATTTTCATTTTCCTCTATTCAAGTCTTGAAGGAAACAAAGTTTACTTGAGTGAGCTGGAGGCACAGTGTCCTCCAAGATCATCCTTGAGTAGGACAATATTCCAGGGGAAGACTGGCAAAGCCAGAGTTTACTGATGCTCAGGAAGCTTTGCAAAACCTTCCACCTGCAGAGCTCTTGCACCCTCCTGAGCTCCTGGAGCCCTCACTCACCTCAGGCACACTTTGGACAGGAAGGGGATGGTTCCGTTTGTGAGATGTGGGGACAGGAGGAGGGAAGACTTTGCAAACACTGTCACGAGGGCAGGGCTGTTTTCATTTATGGTGCCAAGTGGTAGTATGTAACCTTTGATTTAATGTCAGGTGCTGAAGGGCAAACATTCTCAGGGAAAAGGAGAGAGTGTCTCCACTCACAGAGCAAGGTAATTAAAAGGGAAAGTGAAATCTGTATTTCATGGGAGGTGTTCAGTTTTTAACAAAGTATTTTTGCAGATGTGCCTAGGCAGCGGTGATTGAGAGCATTTTATCAGACTCACAGAGTCTCCCCACATCTGCTTTGCCACATTTGCTCTCTTTTTTTCATTGTGAATGATTTCTGCCGCCAGGGTGGCTCCTGCTTGGAGTTCTACTCTCAGTGGAGTCCTGGAGTTTTCTCAGCAGGCCTTTGCAGCGAGTTCTGAGCCAACGTGTGGCTCTGCTGCCATCCCAAATCTGTGCTTCCCTTGCCCAGCCTGAGTGCAAGTCCTGGGCTTGGCCAGAGATTTTCATGGCCAAAATCCTCCAGCATTTACATCTGCTCATGGCTTTGGGTAGCACAAATCACAAAACACCCAGTGCAGCTGACAAATGGCATTTCCTGCAGATTGCTACAGCTGCACTGCTGAGCAACAAATACATGAGAATCAATTTCAGTTGGAAAACGTCATTTATTACAAACTACTACATCCACACTGACAATACAGAACTATACAAACCTCAATTAAGGTTAAAACCAGGAATTTATTAGATTATTACAACCAGTCTAGGTAAAACTATACAAATACCAACTTTAGATAACAAAATTTGCATTTATTGCCAACTTCTACAACAACTCACTATACACAAAAATCAATTAAGTGTTTCACTAACAACTTAAATTTATTACATATTACTACAAATGTACAGCCCATACAGAAATACAAGAATATTCATTCCTTCTCTAAAAAGCCCTGCACTAAGAATTCAATCGATAGAGTTATACAATACCCCCATACATATTTAAATATAATTAAATACATACATATATGCACACATATATATAAATACATATACATGTATAACAATCTACAGATGTAAATATAGATCAGACATCACATACTACATACATACGTATTTATCAATAGATATATAAACCAAACCTATCTATAAATATACAAATATCATTGTGCCAAGCTAAATATCTATCCAACTGCATCAATACAAACATAGAGCTATACACTTGGATACATATGTAAATCTCAATAAATAGATGGAAATAGATCAATATACATATAAAAATATATATATCCCCAATACAAATACCAATATACCTATTTTAAAAAGCCATATATCTATAACTGCATCAATACAAATAGATACCTATACAGCTCTAAACCTAGAGAACTAAAAACAGATACAACATACATGTATACTTAGGTACATATACAAACATATATGTAAATACAAACATATATGTGCATATATACCTAGCATACATCCATAAATATAAGGACATATAGAAATATTCCTATACAAATAGCAACACATATATGTACATAGCTATATAATAATTCCTGTCTATGTGCAAGTCTGTATAGCTCTAAACAGAACTCCCCAGCTGCCCCATCTCCAAAGCCTCTTCCTCCTGTGCAGAGCAGCTCTCCTGGACAGGGATGGCAGAAGGCACAGCTGGCAAGCAAAGGGAACACTGAGTCAGTACGGGGACCTTTCCCTTGGCAGCAGCTGCACTTCCATCAGGGAAGAGAAGATCTCAGAGCCTCCCCAGGAGGGTGAGAAGGAAAAAGCAGCCGAGCGGGCCAGGCCGTGGTGAGCGCAGCCGCGGCGGGACTGTCCCCCAGCCCCGGCAGCCCGGCACAGCCGGCACAGCTCCCGGGCCCTGCCGGCACAGCTGCCTTGCCCAAGGACAGCCCCTGTGCCAGCCGGGGCAGCTGTGCTGAGCAGCCCCAGCACGGGCAGGGCCCGCTCCTGCCCCGCCGGGCAGTGCCCGCGGCCTCAGCCCCGCCACCCTCAGCCCCACCCTGCCTCCCCGGCCCTGTGCCTCACCCGGGCTCTCTCCAGGGTGGCAGCAGCAGGTCCCCCATCCCTGCTCTTGCTGCTGGCCAGCGGCTTCTCCCTGATGGATCCCGTCAGTCTCCGGCTGTCCTCAATGATTCACTGCAGCTGTGGCAAAAGCGGAGGCTCTGGAATTGCTTCCAAGGCCTGGCAGAGCTGCAGTCCTGGAGCCCTCTGTGCTCCCTGCCGGCCCCTCCATCCCCTCAGCCCCGCCATGCTCTCGGCAAAGCCCCAGCCCCCTTCAGTTTCTTCAGCCCCTCACAGTCCTCTCACCCCCTCAGTCCCTTCTGACCCTTCCTGTCCCCCTAGACCCGCCACGCCCTCCGCCTGTGCCACTTCCCTGTCACCTCAGTGCCACCATCGCCCTCGGCTGCCCCACACCCCTCAGCCCCAGCAGCACCTCAGGGTCACCGTCCCTTCAGCGTCACCGCCCCCTCGGCCCCCTCGCTCTCACCGTCCTTCAGCAGCTCCTCAGGGGACAGGGCCTGGGGCCAGCGGCAGCTCCCACCGCTCCAGGGACACCCGGGCTGGAACTGCTGCTCCGCCCGGCCCGGCTCCAGCTCGGACCCAGCACAGGGAGAGGGGACACAGGGGGCACAGGAGGAAAAGCAAGAGGTGAGGGAGGAAGCAGAGCAGAGGAAGAAGTTAAAAAGAGGCCTATACCTATACAGGCATCAATCTATGTAACTAAACTCCCATACATCAAAATAAAGATGCCTATCTATAACTGTAACTACATACACGTAAATGTAACTATACACATGTATAAATGCAACTATGGACATCTATAACTAAAAGTGCACATCTAAAATATAAATATTATAAAAAATATAAAAATATAAAAATATAAATATATACACCTAAAACTAAAAATAAATTAACTATACAGATCTCTAACCATCTAGATAGATAAATATAACTATATCAACCTATACATACAACTACATACATAAAAATAACTATACACATCTATAAATATAACCAGAGATAGAGGAATTCTACCTGCCCGATGGTCACAGGCTCTCCCTCTGTCTCTTCCAGCCACACAGGGCAGCCCTCCTGGGGAAGTCAATCACACTGGATCTGGGAAGCAAAGGAAACACTGAGTCAATACTGGCCTTTGCCCAAGTGTCCCTTGAGCACCAATTGTCCGTCCATGAGGGACTTTAAAAGATGGCCTGAAAGGCAGACTCTCACTTGGCAATTTGAAGCCTGCTCTTTAAAGAACAGGGATCCTTCCAAGTGTTCAAAACTGAACAGTATAAAGTATTTAAGTATCCTGACAGAGTCTCAGCACTCACAGTGCAAATGGCACCCAAGAGAGCTTGAAACAGAGACAGTGCCAGTGACAGAGTGACCACCGTCCTCACTGAAATGGCTGAAGGCTGCTGAGGGCTGAGTTATGAACCAAACTGGGACAGCCAGCTTGGTGACACAACTCCCACAAGGTCAGGCTTATTCCCTGCTCTCTTGCCACAGCAGAGGACGCGGTGTCAGAGCCTCTGCAGAAGCATGGAGGGCAGGGCTCGGGCAGGTTGTGCCAGTGCAGGATTTGAACTAAAGGCACCGGGAAGCACCAACCCTGCAGACAAGAACTCAACTCTTCTCATCTCCCCTCCTGCCAGAGGCAGGCTCAGAGCAGCCGTCTCACACCTCTCTAAACCAATGGGGGCTCTGTCCTTACCAGGCTCCTCGGGCTCTGGAGAACTGTTCCCGCAGCTCTCGGTGCCAGATGGAGTTTCCTCGGCTGCAGCTCGGTCCACAGGCTCCCCTTCTGAAGACTCAGGGACAACATTAATATTCCCCTTGAAAGAACAATAGAAAATAAGAAAATTAGAGATCATTCAGTATTTTGCTGGGATCACATCAAGGATAAGTTACTCTCCTTCTCCATGTAACAACATTGAAAAGCTCTCAGCCCAGCCTCTTCCCTTCCTCTCCAATGGGATTACCTGAGCAGAGGGAGACCTTTCAGACAGGGACCTCCTGATCTCCCGAATCATTTGCTCTATGGCAAAGCCCAGATCCACTGGTGGCAATTGCTCTTCCCCAGGGGCCTTCTGTGCTGAGCTGGAGGCTGTTGATGCTGCAGCACTGCCAGGTGGAGCACTGGGGGCTGAAGTGCCCGAGGCAGCTGCAAGAATCCAAACACATTGGTCAGGCTCCACAATGTGGCTCTAGGACACAGATCTCTGTTGCTACCCTGGATTAAACATTGCAGGAAACATGCAGGAAAACCAGGCAGAGAATCTTTTAGCTTTCTAGGTGCCCCTTCTTTATAGGCTTGACAATTTTGGGCCAAGAATGACAGATCCTTGTGGAAAAATAGTTCAGTCACTTTTCATGACCTTTTGGAAAAGCAAGGAGCTACAGCTCTTTTCCTACCTTGCGGGACAGAGGCTGGGGGCTGCTGCTCCCTGTGGAGAGGCTGGAAGCTGCAGGGCTGCATCCTGAGCAGCTCCCGGTCGACCGGAGGCAGCTGCTCTCCGTAGAGGTCCTGGAAGCGGCTGCGGGGCTGCGCCCCCGCGAGCGGCAGCAGCGGCTCCCCGCAGAAACCGAGCAAGTCGGAGGGCGGGATCTGAAGCACCTCCTGCTCGGCGGGCGGTGGCCGCTGCCCATAGAGCTCCTGGAAGCGGCTCGGCCCCTCCCACCGGGTCGGCAAGGGCCGGTCCCGGTGCAGCAGGTGGAAGCCGCTGGGCGGGCGCCGGGCGGCAGCGGCGGCCGCTCCGTGGGCAGTGGCCGGAAGCGAGCGTGCCTGCCCTGCCCGTCCGGCAGCGGCCGCGCCCCGGGGAGCTGCTGGGAGCCGGGGGGAGGGCGCCTGCGGCCCTCCCGCCCCGCCGCCGGCCGCTGCCTGTTGGGCGTGCTCCGGCGCCTGACGCAGAGCAGGAGGTCGGGGCGGTCGCGGCGAAAGCAGGGGTTGCTGTAGTGGAGCCAGGCCCCGGCATCGCCCGGCGCAGCTGAGCCAGCCCGGCCCGGCACCCTGCGGAAGCCGTAGCGGTGGAGCTGGCGCACGAAGCTGCGGAACCGCGTGGCCCTGAAGGGGCGCGGGGCCGGCCCCTGGGCGTTGCCCGGGCTGAGCAGCTCCCGCTCGAAGAGGGAGCGGTCGATGAGCAGCCCCTGGGCCCGGCTGTCCCAGCGCACGGAGCGGACGCGGGGGCTGTTCACCAGGCGCCACAGCTTGGCGGGGAAGGTGCTGGCGCAGAGCCCGGCGGGCAGCGGCAGCTCCGCCATGGTGCCGATCGCCGAGTGCCGCCACAACGGCCACAGCGCAACGGCCGCGGCTGCGCCGGCGGCGCGCGGCCTGAGGGGGGCGCTGCGCTCGGGCCCCGGCGCGGGCCGGACTCGGCGGGACGAGCGCGGCAGAGCCGGGGCCGCGGGCACAGCGCGGGCGGGGCGGCTCCCGGGGCTGGCCGGGCTCGGCACGGCAGGGCCAGGTGCAAACCCTCTCTTTCCCTGGCTGCAGCCATCCTTCTGCCTTTGCTTTGCAGCCCAATCCCAAGCCAGCAAGGAAGGAAAATAAAAAGCTGCTTCCCAGGCAGTTAGCCTCCTGCAGCTCTTGTTGCCTGGGGTTATTCCTGTCCAAGTCCAAGACTTCTCATTTCCCTTTGTTGAAGGCCATCAGATTCCCCTCAGGCCAATTCTTTAGCATGCTGAGGTCCCTTTAAATGGCAAAAGCATTTGAGCTATCAGCTGCCCTTGCCAGTTTCATATAGTCTGCAGACTTGCTGAGGGTAAACTGCTCCTCCAGCTTGGCCACGAATGAAGACATTAAAGAGTATCTGCCCCAGGATCAGCCTCTGGGGGTCAGAGCACTCCTGCCTTACCTCCAGCTCTATTTTGTGCTACTGATGACACTCCTCATCCGTTTTTCAGTCTTCCTTGCTGGGCATTTTGGCAATTTGTGTTTAAGCATTCTGTAGGAAACACTCTCAAAGGCTTGGTAAAGCTGGGGTAGCCATCATCCATTGCTCCATCCATATCCTATCAGTTTGGCTGTCCAGCAATTCCAGCAAAAATAACCGGTAAGAAAAACGAAGCTCTAAATACAGTCTATTAAATTCTTCTTTCTGCTGCTATTCTATGCCACAATAAAGATCTTGCTTTGTTTCCAGCACTAGACAGCTGATTAAACAACAACAACAACAACAACAAAAAAAGAACCAGGAAAAAAAAAGAAAAAAAAGAATAAAAAATTCTCCTTAACAGAATATAATTATGCCTATTTTTCAGAAGACACATAACATACATTTATTTTCAGGATTAGACTGAGATGAAAGGGTTTGAGAGCTTCCAGAATTTTAATATTTTTGTTGTCTCTAACTGTTTGGAAAACTGTTAGAACATGGTGAAGACATACTGCTTTTGAAAATCTCATTCTGAAGTTTTGCATGCTTGTAGTACATATAAAAGTACCTACAAGAATTTTAGCAAACCTGTAGCTCAGATTCTTTACTTTCAAAATTAGGAAATGTCAGAATTGATTTGACCTTTTGTTTTTTATGCTGTGGTTCTGATTTCCACATTTTTATATGCATATTTATATATTTTTTCAGTAACATGGTCACATACTGCATCTCCCTTCAGATCCCAAAATCATCAGTGCTCAGAATAGCCAATGAACAACTAAATATTCTTTTTCATCTCTTTTATTTACTAATAAACTCAGACACCGTTGATCTTTTGGGAATCCAGAACAATAGTTGTATGCAAAATTTGCAGGAAGATTTAAGTATCAAGCCCTGTGAATTTTCTCTTCTCTCCTTTTCCGTTCCCCTTTTCCCTTCATCTCTTGCCTGACCTCAGGGTCCTTTCCCCTCTTGTCAGGCCCTCTGTTTGTTGTACTCCAGTGAAGCTTTCAGCCGCAGATTCCCCAGCGTGTGGCAGCACAAGTCTTCGAACAGTAGAACCAAACTGTGCTGAGAGCACAGACACCCCCTTGGCCAGCTTGGCTTTCAGCTGCCGGGGTAGCACGGAAGGAAAGGGGGCAAGAGAGAGCTGAGGACGCTGCCAGAGCAGCCCTTGGGCAATGCAGGGTGAGAGTGGCTTAAACTGCTGCTGAACCCCACTGCAGGTGCACAGGAGGCTGCTCTGCCATGGCCCGGGGCTGTGCCATCCATCCCTACCGAAAGGCAGCGCCAACAGGCTCCACCCATACCAAAACTTTGTCAGTCCTGCTAAACCCTCTCTTTGTCCTTCTGTCTTAACATTGACAGTGGTTTGGATAACAGAATGGAGGTGACACGAGACAACTGATTATAACTTGTAAATAAATTTCCATGGGTTTTTTGTTTGCTTGGGGGTTTTTTTGTTTGTTGTGGTGTTTTACTTTGGTTTAGGGGTTTTTGTGTCTGAGGCTTAAGTGTGTCATAAAGTTCTTGTGCGTTCATGGGGCTGTAGAGTGCCCTCCACGGGGATCTCCTTGGCAATGCACAAGCCCAGAGACCAGCACGTGGCACCTCAGGCTGAGCGCAAAGGCAGCACAGGATGATCTGCAGGGTGCTCTGTAACAATAGGCACTTTGAGCTCTTGTCCAGTGTGTAAGAACTACCTCTCTTCTTCTTCAGATTCTCCTAAAAATGCACACTCTTCTTGTTTTGTATGATGCAGCTCTCCTAAACCTATCTTATACTGTATCTGCATAAGCATTCACACAGATGTTTGCTAAAACAATTCTGTTCCAGCTGAAAAGCACTGGGTATGCTGTGCCCTGAGCAATAGCAGTAGATAAATGGACCTAGAGAGACTTTGGGAGCAGAAGCAGCAGTAAATCCATGACATTATATAGGTGTGAAAATAGAGAAATCCACCAATTGTTGCGCAGCCTACACATCTCTACTGGGTTCTGCAGAATGGCAGCAAATAATGCACAGGTATTGAGATCATGAACTGCTGCTGCAATTATTTGTCATCCAGCAGAGCTGTGGGAGACAGGGATTGAAAGTGATTTTGGAACACGAAGAAGAAAGGGACAGACACATTCCAGATGGAGACAGAGTGGCACTGCTCTGTTGACCCAAGCAGAACAGGGAACAAGTTGGAAATTAATAGGAAAAAAGAGTTTTTTGTAAAAGGAAAACACATTATATATGCACCAGTGTTCTTTCCACAGCACACAGGGGTTAGAGCATGAATATAAATCACACTTAAATATTCCTGCGAAGAGTTAGAAAAAATCCTTCACATGGGGTTATTTACACAAACATACCTATGAGCAAATAAAAAACCAGCACAACTACATGTATCATTAAGCAGGATACACGGTAGATTCTCACATTAACAATTGCATATTTATATATGATACTTCCAAACATTAAAGATTTTTTTTTCTCCATTTACTTCTTTAAAACTCACAAAATGTAGCGAAAACTACAGAGTCTGCTGCGTGCCAAAGAAAGCCATTATTTGCTTGCTCAAAATCATCTTTTCGCTGTCTCTTAAGAGTCATGGATGCATTAATTGCTTATCTAAACTTGAAACAGTTCATGAGTCACTCTGAAGATAAAATAAATATTACTGGGCCAATTTGAATGGAATTCATGTCTTCTGCCTCTTAAAGCTGAAGGTCTCTATTCATTTCATATCATTGAAGATATTTATTAAATGACAGAATTAAGTCTTGATACCTAATAAATGGGAAAATATGAAATATACTGACTAGATCACCATGTTTCAAGGGATCATTGCATTTTAGTCTTATTTGACCAAATCAGTGATCAAAGAGAGTAAGGACTGGTCAATTACAACAGAGAAAGTAGATGAAAGAGACGTCTAGGTCTGGTGCAGCTGGAGTAACAAATGAAGTGTGTGAATTTTGAAGTTGGGAAGGGATTCCAGATCAGATGATTTTAACATAACATTACTAAATGCATGATCTTCAAACAAACACATTGGCAACAAATATGGCATAAGAAATGTTGGTATTCCTTGCATTGAGCAAAGGAAGGGGAGAAGGAAGGCATGGAGTTTTCAGGAGTATCCAAATAAAGCACTGTGTTCTGGATCAATATGGTATTTTCATGGAATTTTGATGAAGCAAAAACACTAAGTGGAAGACTTTTCTCCCATTTAATTTTTTACTAAAATTCAGTGAAAGATACTATTTTGGAGTAAAAACTTTCACGTTGAAACACGAGTATGCGGAGAGATTTTGAAGTCTTGGCCAATGACAATTCACTGTTGAAAATCCAAGTGTAAAACTTTTCAAATTAAATGACCCAGGATGAAGTAAGAAAGACAAGTCCTTCCGTTGAACCTTGCTCATTCCTGAAAATGGTAGGCAAAGAGGATGCCACAGAAATCAAAGGAGCAACAGGGGTACATCCCTAAAAGGCAACTGTAGATCTGAAAGGACTTGGGAATTACAGAGACATCAATGAGCCACTTGTGAGTCAAACTGTTAGTGAAGAGCCCTTTCCCAAAGAAATGGCAGCTTTTCTCAAGGAAGTTGAGCAGCAGGATATTATGGCTCAAGCAGCCATACACAGCATGGGCAGGGCGGCTCCCGGGGCTGGCTGGGCTCCGCACGGCAGGGCCAGGTGCAAACCCTCTCTTTCCCTGGCTGCAGTCATTCTTCTGTCTTTGCTTTGCAATACAGCCCCAAACCACCAAGGCAAGTGCAGGAGCTTTCAGAAAGGTCCAAACTGAGAAATCCCATCAGAAACTCTAGCTCTTTTCCAGTGAAAACAAAATCATTCCCATTTCTGCATAGCCAAAGTCAGGAAAAAGGTCTTAGTCTAAATAGTTTCCCTATTTGGTAGGGGTTGCAAACAGAGTTCCTCACTTCCAAGCAGACAGGTCAAATGGGAGAAGGTGAAATGATTAAGAGACTTGAAGACATGTTTTGGACACACTCCAGCCCCTCAGTGTCCTTCCTGAATTGAGGGGCCCAGAACTGGACACAGCACTTGAGGTGTGGCCTCTCCAGTGCCGAATGCAGGGGGACAATGACTGCCCTGGCCCTGCTGCCATACCATGGCCAGGACATAACATTGATGTTTTGCCCACATTCAGCATCTCTGACGCCCTTCCTGCCCCGTCTGGCCGGGACACGGCTCCATCCAGTGGTGGGCAGGGAGGCTGCCGCTCCGCCGGGGCCGCGTGTGGGTGAGGGAGGCTCCGCCCGTGCCGCCATCCTTGGTGCGGTGTCGGTGCTGGTTTTGCCCCTGCTGAGGGGCGAGGGTGAAAGGGCGGCCGGACGGGGCGGCGGCGGGTCCGTGGGGAGGGCCGGGGCCGCAGAGAGCCGGGAGGTGCGGTGCGGAGGACGGAGGGGTCGCTGGGGGCTGGAGGCAGCGCACACCCGCGGAGGGAGGGACGGGCCCGCAGCGTGTCCGGCTGGCGCTGTGGGGAGGTGCCGGGGTCAGGGGCAGGACCCCCGCGGGATGCGGGAGAGCGGAGGAGGTGTGGGAGCGGCTGGTGTGTGTGGGAAGCTGAATCACAGAATCGCAGGGTTGAGATCACCTGTGCAGCCCCCTGCCAAGGCAGAGTCACCTGGAGCAGGTGGCAGAGGAACACATCCAGGTGGGCTTGGGATGTTTCCAAAGGGGGAGAGTCCACGCTTTCCTGGTGTCAGGAAAATCCACAAACGCTGGGGTTTATGTCTGGAAAGGTGACAGATGAGTCCCTTCACCTTTATTCTAATAAAGGGAGAAAATTCAACCGGGGCACATGACCGTGGGGTTTTCTCTCTTGGTGTTTCAGAGGGCACAGCCTCATTTTATCCTAAACTCCAGGCCGCAGTTTGCCCTCTGCCTTTCCCCTTTGTCTGAGGTACAGCCTTCCTGAACCGCCTACACCATATCCCACCTCGAACCTCCTGGTCTACCCCAAAGTTCTGAAGTTCAGGCTTGTGCAGACCCACTTGTCTATCTCAGGAGCCAAACTGTGTGAGCTCTGCAACAAACGTGCTGCCCGAAGTCAGTAGAGACATTAAGACCCATTAATGTCTCTACCATTCAATTACTTGTAATCAGTATCAACCATTAAATTATTTGTAAAGACATTAGCACACATCCTTCCTCTCAATCCCTCCTCTTCTTCTCAATTTGTCTTCACAAACCCTAGCTATTATTAACCCTTTTTCACAATGTGGACCATTTGAAACATCTCCTGCCGACTTTTTAATGTCTGGTCCCTGCACCAAATATGGCAAGTAAATACAGAAAATAAAGTAGATAATTACAGTTCATATTAACTGTATGTATTTACCCATTAATCACTAGAAGTCCTTGTCCATGGCTACTGATAGCCTAGGTCTCCTGTGCTTTTCTTCCAGCTGAGATGTCCAAATCTTTGGGGCTTTCAAGACTTTGACTTGAGTGTGATGGTTCCATCCATGTTCAGATCTCCTGGCTGCTCTCTCTGAAATCCCAGTTGGATGTTATGAAAGGCAAAGTCCAAAGGCAGCGTCGGTGCTAACTGGGCTTCCTGTCAAAGAGATTTCACAAGGCATGGCATCCTGGCTATGTACTAGTTTAAATATAGATCTTCTCCTTTCTGCCACCTTGAAAATGAACAAGGTAAGAATCTCAAACAATTCAAAGGGGAATAATTGAATATTCCCATGGCTTTGGCTCTCATTCTTGCCAAAGCTAATGGCAAAAGCTGTACCCATGGCATCTTAGTTTCTGTCACCAGCTTCAAAGGGTGCTTATTCCTCCATTCATCCTTTCTACTTGACCTGAATTCTCAGGGTTCCAGGGGGTATGGAGGTCTCACTGAAATCTCAAAGCAGCCATAATCCCTTGAAGGATCCCCCTGTATAACGTGTTCCCCTATCGAAGTCCACTGCCTTCATAATCCCATATGCAGAAACCAGTTTTTAACTGATTGTTATGAATAATTTATGTAGTTATTGGCTTTTGCTGTTATTTGCTTTAGTAAATTATTTTTATATAGTACAGTTTGTAATCTCTTTTAAACTGCTTTTGATACAGTATAATTTGTCAGCCTTTTATGGTTAATACCCTAATCTCTGTGTAGATTGTATATCTTGGTGTGATATATATTATAGTTTAGGCTTTCACAAAATATTAAAATAGAGGTCATGTAATGTGTATTATAACATTAACTTTTGCAGAAGTAATTGTAGCTGTGAAACTTTCTAACAATAAACTTCTAACTCATATAATAAAACACTGCAAAATCTTACAAAACACACACACACCACATCTCTCCCTTTTATGTTTAATATATTCGTTGGAACCTTGGGGAAAGATGAAGTTGTGGTTATTAGACCTCAGTGCCAGCTTCTCTGTTGCTTTCCCACCATTGGTTTTCCGCAGTGAAAGCGGTGGCGACTACGATTTTTGAAGCCGTAGAATTGGTGGTGACGGTGGAAATGATTCGCTTCAGAATTCCGAATGCTAACGAAACAAAGAAAATAACAACGAGATATGCAATGTCTTTTATAATGGATACCATCCACCCGGAAAGGGTCCAGTTTTTAAACATGTCCCTAAACCAGTCCTCATATTCTTGTTGAACACCGCCAATCAGGCTCTTCATCTCTCAGATGGACGCGTGGACACTTTGGCTCTTTGATGACAAGTTGAAACAGCATAGACCCTCAAACTCCTGACACCCATGCCCGTGTGCCAGCAGAAAATCAAAAGCTGCCCGATTTTGTAGGGTAGCTTTCCTGGTTATTTCCTCGTCTTCGAGGAGGTTACTTAAGGCCGTTGATACTAAATTCGCCTGCTTTGTCATCCAACACTCTAGATTGCCTAATTCACTTAGTGCTTTGACTGCCGCCACCATGGTAGGAACACATAGACGGCAACCCTTTTTGATTTTGCCCAATGGTAAATTTCAGCATCGCAATGTTCATCAAATTGACTTGCACTCCGTTTAGTAAATTTTGCTCTATTTCTTGCTTGCCGAATTGGAATTTGGGTCATGTTGGGGGAAGCGAGGGAGAGACGCCCCAGAGCGCATGGACTTCCGAGAAGGCGAGAGAGGATTCCTGGAGATATACCTGATGTCCGCAAATCAAAAACATTCCTTGGTCAGTTGAGGGAACACCCATCTTGGTGACGTACTGGCACCACTGATTTGCCTGAAACTCAAACTTATGTTGCCTTACATTGCGGCATCCAGGTCCTGTGACCACTGAGAGTGCCACAGTGGAACAGGTCTCACAGGAGCCGAATAGCTAGGATGATGCTTCCACCGATGGTGGGTCCTCGTCGTCGGTGGAAATCAGGCAGCTTTGATTTCTTGAGGGTTTATTATGAGGAAGGCGAAGTCGGGGGTGAAGGAAAGCAACCACTCAAGAAGGGAGCTCGCTCTGAGAGCCCCGAGCTGAGGGTGGGGTAAGGTATTTAACAGCAACAGGGAGGGAGGGTCGGGGTGTACAACAACCAATGAGGGAAAGGTTCAAGGGCAGAGTGGAGGATAAGTGATAGGATAACAACCAATGGGAACAAGGGGAAGGAGTGGCTATTAGGAAGGTACCAATGGGAGTACAGAGAACAAGGAACATTCTGGAACTGAGGGATGGCTTACATAATGATGGACAGGAACAAGGAGAAGGTATAACGAAAGATTGACATCGGGGGAGGCGGGAACTCACACATTGGTTGCCTCCCATGGCATCTCAGGGGGACTGTTCCCAGAACCCTCTCCCACATTACATCTTCATATAGGTTGCGGCAGGAACTGGGCTCATAATCAAAGTGAACACAGAAGGTGGCTTATGCAGATGCCAATAATTCAAATTCTTGAGGCTCTGCGTCAGGGTAGGGCAGATTGTAGACCCATTTCTGCCAGAGCACCAGAGGGTTCACAATGGGTGTTTTAGCAGTGTTGACAAGCCCCCAATACCTGAATATTTCAACCCACTTGTTTGGAGGGTTCTTGGTGTTGATTTGGGTTTGGAGGGTGTGCAGCGAGGTGGGATACTCCTCCAACTTAGACGGAATCGCCACCAGGCAGCTGGTCATTGTATTTTCTGCTGCGGAAAGGATTTTCTTTCTGTGTGGAAAGGCACAAATGATCTTGCTGGAGGGCATGGGCTAGGGTTACCCATACATTTTTCCGGGACTGTGGGATGATCCATGCGTCCAAACAGGACTGGTAGAGGGCTGCATACTGGAGTCAAATGAAGAACAGGGACACAGAAGTTGACATAATGTGAATCTGAAAGAAAATGAGACCACATAATAAATTAACAATGGGAGGAAAATGCCACTTGCTGTAACAACATGAAGGATAGAAAGAATTAGGGGACTCTTCTCCCCTTGCAGTGTTTTCTGTTTGACACAACTGCATCATCTGTGGGGTCTTCCAAGGTATCTGGGGAGGTGCTCTGTGATTGACTCACTCTCTGTTCAGGGGTATAGGGTTTGACCCATTTCTTAGGGATCCATCTGACTCCTGAGGACGTGGACGCACATGCGTACCCATGTCCTCAGGTGACAAGCTGGTACGGACTCTGGATTTCTCCAGTCTGGATCTCTAATTAACACTGGTGGTATTTCATTGGGTCTTAATTGTTGATGCTGTCTAAAATGGCACAGGACTGGCGGTTCAGGCCTATTGAAAGAACAATTCAAAAAGTTAATAGTGAAAAGGGCCTTGCAGAGCCTGAGCTGTGGTGATAAATCTCGGATATCTCCCCAGTGGCGAAGGAGGACTTTCTTTAATGTCTGATGGGTCCTTTCTATCACAGCCAGGCCAGTGAGAGAGTGTGGAATTCCTGTCCAATGGTTAACCCCCCATTCTTGTAAAAACTCACTGAACGCCGTGGAAGTATAGGCCGGGCCATTGTCAGTCTTGATGGTGGTGGGGACCGCCAAGGTCATGAATGCTTGCATAAGGTGTTTTCGCGCATCTGCGGCCTTCTGCCCCCGTGGGCCGAGGCGAAGACTGCCCCGGAGAAAGTGTCCACGGAAACATGCACATGCTGGAATTTTCCGAACTCATCTATATGTATAATGTCAGTTTGCCACACCTCACAACTGCGGAGTCCTCTAGGGTTCACTCCAGAGCCCAAAGTTGGTAAGGTGGACTCCTGGCAGTCAGGGCATGCGGCCACAATTGCCTTGGACTGGTCATGCTATAGGTGGAATTGGTGGACCAGACCTGGGGCATTTTGATGGAACAGCTGATGGCTCAGCTTGGCCTGCTGGACGATGTTTGGTTGTCCAGCCAGCTGTAAAGGAGCGGCCAGAGCATCTGCCCTGCGGTTACCTTCCGCGGTAAAACCGGGGAGGTCGGTGTGCGACCTCACATGCATTACATAAAAGGGTTGCTCTCCGTGGGAAATCAGATGGATCAATTTTGAGAGCAAGCCAAATATCACTGGATTGGAAACCTCCTTGAGCACTGCATGCTCTGCCCTGGACACGGCATGTAAGCTGAATCTGTAACAGTATTATTTGGTTCTGAAAATCTCTCGAAGGTGCTGACAACAGCGTCCAGTTAAGCAACTTGTGGAGAACCCTCCACAACCTTAATGTCAGCTTCCCACTGCTAAGTCTGGGGGTCCTTCCATGTCACACAGACTTGTGGGACCCTGTGGATGCATTGGTGAAAATGGTCAGTGCCTTCAGCGGTTCGTTACTTTGAGTATTTTTTGGAATCAAATCAAACTGTGTTTCAAATAATTTATGGCCTGGCTGGTTAATAAGAATTTGTCTCGTGTAGCTGTCCAGGGAGAACTGTAAGTTTTCATTGGTCTGAAGCAAGTGCTCGAGTGTTTCCTTAGACAGTCTTCCTGTGGATGTTTTAACAGGGAGATGAATGCACATGATGTCACACCCTGCCAGCACCCTCAGGCGAGCCCTGGCCCGCATGATCAGCTGGGCTATCAACTATTGTGGCCTGGTGATGCTTTTGGACAACTGATGACCAAGGAACACCAACTCTATGATCAAGAGGGGATCCCGTTGGTCTGTGTCCCATTGGAAAATCAGCCCATGGAGATGCGGCAACTTACCAAGAATGATGAATCGGAAGAGCAGGCCCTCATGGCACTGGTGGGCTTGCCTGTCTGCCAAGGTGGATTGGACTTTCTCTAAAGCAGCCTTGGCCTCCTGGGTCAGAGCCCTCAGGAAATCCAACTCCTCCCTCCCCCTCCCTCAGTAAGTTGAAGAGGGGGGATAGGTCCCCCGTGGTGAGCCCCAGCCAGGGCCTGATCCAGTTTAAAGACCCACACAGCTGATGGAGGTCCCATAACATCTTGGGGTTGTCATTTATAGTTGGTCTCTGAGGCATGATCGTTCTGTTGCTGATCTCGAGGCCCAGATACTTCCAAGTCTACGGCCTCGCGGGCAGAAGTCACCTTGAGGGCCACCTTCCCAAGAGTGAACTCCTTGGTCAGTGCGGCTAGCTCCTGCATACCACCAGGCGCTTGAGGTGCAGGTGTAGTAATGAAGGCTAACCAGTGAAGCAAGAGAGCCTGGCTGCTTGAAATTCCAGCTCTGCTGATTGAGAAGCAACAAAACAGGCTGAAGGGGTCAGAGGCAGCAAAGAAAGCCAGCCCCAGGTAGGGAGGGCCTAGTGTATGTAACTGGGACAGGGTAGGAGTGGTAACTGCTGAAGGGAACCAACCTGGGAAGGGACAAGGAGAGGAGCAGGGATGGGGTGATCAGGGAACAACCAATGGAAGGACAAGGGGGTGGTTAGCAAGGTACAGGGGCCAATGAACAAACACAGAACAATGAACTTTCTAGAACATGGGACTGAACAGTAACTTGATGGACAGAAAAAGGGGTGTAGTTTCTTATACAATGGTCTCCTCCCATGGCATCTCAATCTCCTCATTTCCCTTCCCATATCCTACACAAGGCAGCAGTTGTTGCACCTTTTCTTTTTGTAACTCAAATCCGGCTGCCGACAAGGCTGCGATAGTGTCCTCCAATGCCTCTGCAAATGCATTGTCACTGTGGGCACAAACAAGGACATCATCCATATAATGGTATAAGATACAGTTCTCCCACTTGGGGTGCACCAGGGACAGAATCTGGTGACATACCACTGACAGATGGGGGGACTGTTCTTCATCCACTGTGGGAGAACTCGTTCTTCATCCACAGTGGTGGCGCTTCATTGGACCCTCTCTGTTGATGGAGGGCACAGAGAAGGCAAAGCACGGTGCATTAGCTGGGTGCAGGGGAATTTGAAAGAAACAATCCTTGATGTCAATTACTGCCAATTTCCAGTTTTGGGGGAGCATAGATGGGGAAGACATCCCTGGTTGAAGAGACACCATGTCCTCGATGACATTATTAATCTTTCTCAGATCATGGAGGAGGCACCACTTGTCCTTCCCCAGCTTCTTAATAACAAAAACCGGAGAATTCCAAGGGCTGTTGGTTTCTACTATATGGTCTTTGTCCAGTTCCTCCTTCACAATCTGAGTGAGCACTCTTAATTTTTCCTTGCTTAGCGGCCACTGCTCTACCCAGACCGGCATATCAGTGAGCCAATTGAGTATTTGGGTAGGGCGTGCTTCAGTGGCCACACCTAAAAATCCTGAGGGGCCAGCTGTTCCAATTTGGCCCCCCACTGGGACATGGCATCTCTTCCCCAGACTGAATTTTGAATTTAAAATGAATGGGCATACAGACGCTAATTGCCCATTTGGCCCTGTAATTTGGACTATGCTCTTAGATTGTTGTGCCAATTGTGGACCCCCAACACCTAAAACTGTGCTGCCTACACTTTGCAGCTCCCACTGTAGTGGCCATTTGTGTGGGGGAATGACCGTCACGTCTGCCCCTGTGTCCATCATCCCCTGAAGTTGAATGGAATGCCTCTCGCTCTTAAGGCCACACCATATGAGGGGCTTCTCCTCTCCCAGCGTCTTGGTGTAAAAAACAGAGAGGTCCAGATCATCACACGAAAGACAAGGCACTGGAATGGCTGGTACAATGATCTGTCCCTCCGGCAGGAAGAGATGGGGGTGGACACCATGAAATAGCAAGTCCTAGGATCAAGTGAAAGGATGGCAGGAGGGACCTCTATCTCATGTGGGGTGTGCTTGGTGTCCCCAGTGACAAGGTACTTGCAGTTTAGTAGATCGTTCCATCTGCCAGTCTCACAATCTCGAATGCGGGGCAGAAGCTCTGCTGTCGCTGTGATGAAGTGCCAGTCCTGGTTGGAGAAATGAACAGCTTTAGTGAGTCTTAACTGGTATGGTTCATTCTTGTCTGTGGTATAAGCTTGGCTGCTGATACTTGGTATGATGTGATGTACGGCGGCCTTTGCAGCAATGCCTTGACCTACCCCATTTGTATCATCACGCGGGGTAGGTCTGTGCTCCACAATTAGTATTTTGACTGGTTAAAGGTCTCCCCCTCCCCGTCCTTCCCCACTTGTGGAGATGCCATTCCCAGGATGGGGCACTGGCTGATGAAGTTGCCCTCCTGCATGTAGTGAAAACATCAGCTTTTAGGTGGTAAAGGCCTCGATGCTGGAGTTTTTGGGGCCGCTGATGTTGAAGCCACGTTTCCCGTGGATTTGTCATCAAGTCCTCAGCTATCAGGGTGGCCTTTCTTGTGCACTCCTCGATAACCTGATCAAGCATCGGTGGAGGGGATGCTAGAAGTGCCAAGATGACCTGCCGACAAGCCTCATTCGCATTGGTGGTGACGATCTCTAGTGTGAGCTGATCTTGGAACTCCTGCCCTTCCACACTCTTCTCTACAGCGGCTCTCACCCAGTCAACAAAGTCAATGAATGGCTCTGTAACAGACTGCTTAAGAGCAATATAAGATATTACAGGTTCCATAGAGGGCATGCTAAGGAATGCCCACACTGCAGCGTCTTTTGTCAGACCTAACACAGCCCTAGGAATCCCTGCTGCCTGCTTCTGAGCTTGCCTCCAGTCACCCTCACCAACAAGGTGGTCTATGGTGATTTCATCTTCTTCTATGTCTGTGGTATAATCGGTGCTCTGTAAAATACCTGGAAGGAGGTCCTCTGCTAACCTCTTCCA